TTTTTTTTTTTTTTTGGGTAGTCATGATCAGGAAAAAATAATAAGCTTCCTTCTCTCAAATACTCAAAACACCCCTAATAAAACTAAAATAGCCTGTGATGTTGCAGGTTATGAATTAATTAAAATTCATTAAAATTAAACATTCTATCATATTTTAAATTCCCTCTACAAATAGTTCAAATTAAAAATAAAAAAAGAAAATTAACACCATTATATATTTTTTTTATTTTAGACTTCTAATACTGACCAAATATGATAATCTAAGCATAAATTCCTATATATTTGTCAAATTTAACAAATAAAAAAAAAATGCATGAATTCCTATATATTTTTCAAATCTAAGGGGTGAAAACTTCCCTTTGCTTCCTAATTTTACCAAACACCTTAAGAACATATTGTGAATAAATTTGTAGGGAAAGAACTTGCCAAGACATACTTTATTAGTGTTGCTTATTTTCTTGATGTTAATGTTCGAACAAATGAGCACGAAAGGTAGATTTTAAGAAAAGAAGTAGGTTTGTCAATATATAAATGATCCGATATGTAGGAGCAGAGTCAGGATTTTATTCATGTGAGGGCACAATCATTGAAATAAAAAAATTCTCAAACTTTTTCATCCGAGCTTAGAACCGGCAGGGGCGGTTTTAATTTTTTTTTTAATCATTAGATTTATTATGAAAAGATAAAATATATGATAAAAGAAAAAAAAAACTTACAATTTAGAACATCTATAATTTATTCCGCCGAGTCTTCTTTTTTCGAAATCATTGAACAATCAAGTCATTGTCAATACTATTAAATATATCATTTTCAATATAAGTAAGTAAACAATCATTCATCCAAGAATCTCCCATACGATTGCATAAACAATTCTTTATAATATTCATTTCAGAAAATGCTCGTTTAAGTGTTGATGTAGCAAGTAATGTCTCCGAACAATATCTCTCTCATTGGGATGATAATCTAGAATTTTTTCTCTCAAGGCAAGATCAGCAGGAATATCAACAAAATTTATTTCTACAAAACTTTGTTTGATTTGTGTAATGATTTCTTTACAAAATATTTTCTCATCATCTCCTTCAATTTTTTTTTTGAAATATGTATCCATGCTAAATTAAACAAAAATAATTTTAAAAATTTGAACATAATAAATGATAATTTGAACATATAATTTCTTATGCAACATGTTTTTAGGCTTCTAAAGCTTATTCTGTTTAAAGTTTTTGAACAACATACCTCTAAAGCTTCAACAGAACATATATGATGCAGTCGAAGCTTGAACACTGGTGCGAGTTAAATCATAGACATCACGAGTTAAATCAACCGAATTAAATCATAAACAATGCTTGAATACCACAATACCAGGCTAAGGCTAAGGCCGTGAGGCTTAATATATAGCAGAGAATCAGAGATTATATATTCCAACATGATCAGAATTAGGCCAAAAAAATTAAGGTTCGAATTAACCTATTTAATAAACGGGTCAGATATAAATCATATATTTCAATCCTTTAATTAAATGAGTTGCGTTCAAGTTGACCAACTACTCGATTTTGACCCAAAAAAGAAACGTTTAACCCTTTTTCCTTAAATTCTTTATTTATTAGTATAATCTTCGCATTTTTTATCAACTAATATAAAATAACTAATATAAAATATAGGGTGTGTAAAAACCAATGTTTTTAAAGTCGAGCTGGACTGGCTGGTTACAGTTTATGTTAGAACCAGTTTCGCAAAAAAAAGGGCATCGAACC